GACCTCAGTCTTCTGTACTCAGAAGGGAACTTCGCGCATTGGCTCTCCTGGGTCTCCAGATGGCACATCATGGGGCTTCTCCGCCTCTGTAATCACATGAGCCAATTCCTTAAGATAAATGTCTAGATAGACAGATGACAGATAGACATATAAGTAGATGTCCTATTGATTCTGTTTGTCTGGAGAACCCTGACTAATCCAAGTAACCAAGTGGGAGGCACAGTAGAAGGCCCGTGGAACATCCAGGGGTGGGGGGCGGGTGGCTGGCAGAGAGCAGCAAGACGGGGGCCAGGTGAGGTTACTGAGTGAGGTCAGCAAAACGAACCTCATTGACATCAGGTCGGCCCTGCAAAGTCTCCTTTGTGTGGACTTGGGGCTTGCAGTTTTCCAGTTCTCGGACAGCTGAAGGAGATCCAGGCACAAAACCAGAAGGTTGTTCCATTTATGAACATCCCGTTATTTCCCGAGGCAGGCGCCCACAGGACCTCTGAGAATGGGCATGTGTTATGACACTGGGACATGGTGAAGTATCAGCCTGACACACAGGCGGCTCAGAGGACACCTTCTTGCTCTGTGTTGTTAGAGGATGTGTAGATTTAACTCCAGTTCCCGCTGCTGTGCTGAGTGACAAGGCCAGGTGAAGGTGAACTCGGGCCAGATGGAGCAGAGAAGGCTGATACGGTACCCACACCTGCTGGGACAGGCTAGCAACTCTTTCTGCCAGAAGGAAGACCCATTCGATATGCTGGAGACAGTAAACACTCACCATCCAGGGCCCAGCAGGGAGGAGACGGTCCCACTGAGCTGGGGGAGTGTGTCATTTTCAGAGACGGAGACCCATACTGGCGATGGGAAAGTCTGGTATGTAGTAGGTAACGTGGCTCTCTGCACCTCCCTCACCAGGTTTAGAGAAGAAATTCTCTAAAGGGCAGTGGGAAGCTCACTAGGCCAGGAATGGGATCCAGAAGAACATGAGAGAGCCAGCTCTGAGAACTGGGCCGTGCCTCTCCCTGGGCCCTCAGCACCCTGACCTTACTCACTATATTGCAAGTGTGATTCTAATGATGCCCTGTCAGCCCATCAGAGGTGAGTTCCTAGATGCCAGGGCCACGTCCGGTATCCCTATGCTCCTGGTGCCAGCAGAGTGCTCGGCATATTGGCGGGGCTCAGTGTTGAATGAGCAGGGTGCTTGCTGTGGAGTCCCTACGTAGTGACCCGGAGCTCCTCGCTGAGACCCCGCCTGGCCCTGAGCCTGGATAAAGGTGACCTGCCAGTGAGGTGTGTGGCCGGGACAGGCAGGGCCCCGCGATTCACAGCTCTCTGCACGGGTTGTCATTGTCACAGGTGTTAGAGTGGTGGGGGCTTTGTTTTAATCAAGAAGGAGATAGAAAAAAATTAATGCTTATGTTTAGGGCGTTCAGCAAATGACTATGGCCTGCTCCAGTGTTGGATTTCCTCCAAGTTGTCTTGCCCAGGGAGCGATTTTCACACCAGTTTTGCCACCCAGAAAACAGTTTCACTTATGCCTCCTTTTTCAACTTCAAATGGGGGCTCAGGGCCCAGAGAATTCCTCTCAAAGTGTTTGTCTGTCACGTGACCCAGGAACACCCTGGAGCCATGTACAAAGGAGCCAGCAGAGAGGAACAAGTGTGCTGCCAGTGGCCCCAAGGAAGAAGGCTGGGATGGGGCCAGGGTGGGCTTGTGGATTCAGCCTTCTGAGCAGGGGAACAGGCCCGCTGGAGAAACTGCTCCCTGCAGAACCAACATACAGGGTGATGAGCCGTCAGACTCTTGGAGGAAAAGTTCATCATCTCAGGTGTCTTGGTGCAAAAAAAAAAAATCTGTGCATGTTTGCCTACAAAGAACAGGCCAAGTGAAGTCATTCATCGTAAAAAATGATGAGGGGGGACTTCCCTGGTGGCCCAGTGGTTAAGACTCTGCCTTCCAGTGCAGGGGGTGCAGCTTCAATCCCTGGTCGGGGAGCTAAGGTCCCACATGCCTTGCAGCCAGAAAAACAAAACATAAAACAGAGGCAATACTGTAACAAATTCAATAAAGACTTTAAAAATGGTCCACATCAAAAACATCTTTAAAAAATAAAAAAACCAAAGAAGGCAAAGGGACAGTAGCCAAGAAAGGAGGCCCCAGGAGCTGTATTTGGCATGAGCAGGGGGAGCCACTTATGTCTGGTGGCTCTTTATCTCAGACAGAGGCCACTCTGTAACGGTCGACTGTGGGGATTGTAACAGGTCCCCTGGGTCCTGGGAGGCCCTGGCAAATGCATCCCTGTCATGGTGGACACACAGGAGAAAAAAGCCTGCGATCTGCACACAAAGCCTTTGCTCTGACTTTTCACTTATCATCAGCTGTATTGCACTAGCTGGAGAATTACCATTAATTGTTGAGAATATCATGCTTTGTTCCTGAAACAGAGGTACTAGAATTTCACATGATAGAAATGCCATAGAAACAATATAATAGGACTTGATTCTAGCCGAGGTCTGATACACTGTTTACAGGAATGATCAGAAATTGCATACTAACCAGTGTGTCAATGAGAAAGGATGTCTGAACCCTGCCCAGGGTAGAGGCAAGGTGTATATAAATCAGCTACATGGGACAATACAGTAACTAATGATATAAAATTTCTGTGAGAGGTCCCCTGAAGCTAGGGGAACCGCCTTCCCCCATACACAAGAGGGGGGCAGTGCTAGACACTGCAGTATGGGGCAGAGTGTTCCAGGAGTTGGTCATCTAGGTCATGTGCAGCAAGCTGTGTCCTGCAAGGTTGACCGGAGACCATTATCATCAGGATTTTGGGCACCTTTGTGAATCAAAGGGCTGTAGAACAGTGGGACCCCTGTGGTCAAAGAGACCCCTCAGCACGGATGACATTCTCTGCACCTTCTCTGGCTGGGCCTAGGCTTCATCACAGGCCAGACCCTGGAACTGTGGAATCACAAGAGGTCAAATACAGAGGCCTAAAGCTATTTTTAACCCCTCTCTTCCCACTGCCCCTATCCTGTACAATACATGATCATCATGAAACTGAAAAACCAGGACATTTGTAAAGAAAAGAGAATCTAAATGCCACTGACCTGGGGAAAGGAGACACATGGCTACTTCTTTCTCTGTTGGGAATCTCCCATTTCACCAAACTCCTCTGGATCATAAAAAAGTTGTATATGCTTCTTGCCCTGGACCAGTGGATTATTGCCATGAAGGGGGGTTAGGAAAAGTCATTCTGACATTCTCCAGGTAAGAATGGCCTATGGCCTGCATGGAACAAAGTTATACCACATCAATATCCACATCGCAAGGCTGCTTCCACTTAGGGCCTCAAGTGGTTGCAAAATCTTAAAGAAAATAACAGACTCATTTATTTAGGTTTATTAAACATATCCCCAGCCCTTCCAGGACATATTGATGACAAAGTGATGTATTTGAGGGCATGAACAGCAAGTACTGTATGAAAGCAAAATGTGGGTCTGTGGTCAAATTTCTGTCCAAATCATGATGATGATATTGGTGATGATGATGCTAATGATGGTGTGTGTGTGTCTGTGTGTGTGTGTCTATGTGTGTAAAGTTTCTACTTTATAAAGCAGTTTCACAACGAGACTTTGATTTTTTTTACACCCAATTTCCTGATATATGGGTCAGTGGGCTTTTCTAGAAGGAGGTTTATTTAACAGTTGCTCCCCAAAACAAAGGACATTGAGGAACTCAATCCCCAACATAGAGAAGATGGTGCCCATTTTCACTAGGCTGGTAAATACTGAGGAGTCAGTAATTTTCACCGTAGTTCCCTGCTAAAGCCTATGGGATCTTTGGAAACCTGTGAAGAAAGGGTCCTCCTGCCATGGGGTCAGCAGATCTCAGGTGACTGAGCACAGTGGTCAAAGGACCTTAGTGTTCCAACCCCTCATTTGGAACGAGGGGGAAAGGAGCCTGGGGAACTCCCCACCCCTCCCCTCCCCAGCTGAACAGTGACAGACATTCTGCTTTGGTTGTGATGGGCTGAGATCAAGGTCTGTCCCGAGGACGGAAGCTGCAAAATAAGTCCCAGAGCCCAGGGCCTCTGGCAAGGACAGGCACAGTCCCAGGAAATGGTCAGGTGAGCACAATCAGTCATATCTGGGATGCGGGCACATATTTAACATGCAATTTGCATCACTTCCTGTACTGCCTGTCCTAGGAATTTCCAAGTTGGCCCTTTCTAGAGCAACTAGTATTTGAAATGAGAGGGAGGAAGGAATACCCAAGGATAAGAAGGTAGAGAAAGTAGGTTTCCTAACCCGGATATGGAATAATTTTAGGTCTCAGGGGAGGCCATGTTGTTTAGACTTTTTTTGGTGGATTTTTTAAAAATTGGAGTATAATTGCTTTACAATGTTGTGATAGTTTCTGCCATACAACAATGTGAATCAGCTATAAGTGTACATATATCCCCTCCTTCTAGGACCTTCCACTGTCCCCCAACCATCCCATCCCTCTCGGTCTTCACAGAGCACCGAGTTGAGCTCCCTGTGCTGTCTATCCCTATTAGCTATCTCTTTTACACATGGTAGTGTATATATGTCAATGCTAATCTCCCGATTCATCCCACTCTCCTTTTCCCACCCTGTGTCCACTTGTCTTTTAAACACAAAGCACAGTTGCCCTTAGAATAGCCTCAGTAACCTTCCTTGCCCATCATCCAGGATTCTCACCATTCACACTGTCTACTTATTGCTTTTTGCCCTGACACTCTTCCAGGAGGGTAGAAAAACCAGGAGGAAGAATGGAGTTGGGTGGGAGAGGGGAGAGGGGCAGGACCAGCTGTAAAGTCAGGCCAGGGCATCAGAGATCATCCTGCTGAGACTGGTACCAAGAGCCCCGGGTTAGCACAGCACGGACACCTTGAACTGCAGAAACTTCAGGGCACCTCAACCCAAAATAGCTTCAGGCTCGAGGAAGGGCCAGGAGGGCGGGTGTGTGGTCTCCGAGGAGAAGCTCACTGTTGAGGGCAGACGCCTCCTCCTGGTCTTAGGGGTGGGGGGAGGTCCTGGTGGGGTGCAGCCAACAATTTTTCCTTCTCCAGGGTTGCCCTGTGCTCGGGCCGTACAGGCTGCGGCCCTTCAGGTGGCCTCTGCAGGGGGTCCCCCACCCCCTCGCTGGAGGGAGTCTTCGTGGCTTCAGAACCCGGGCTGAGGTCCTCTTCTCCATGGCCGAGGCACCCCAGGCTCACAGCTGCAGTGATGCTCTGGGCCGGCGTGTGGGTCCCGGGCATTGTGACCTCAGCTGTTCCACCCACAGAGAGGTGGCCATCCTGCCTGACCTTGCCTGTAAGCTGTCTAGGACAGCGGCCTGGTCACGGGGGCCCGTCGAGGGGAGGTTGGGAAGTGGAAGAACACTCTGGCCTCCTCCATCATGTCGGCCAAGAGGGCGGAACTGAAGAAGACAAGTCTGGTAAAGGAGACACGGCGGCCAACGTGGGGCGCCTTTGAGCTCCCACTGGGTGGAGGTGGGGGTGGGGGTATAGAGAGTCCCCAGCAAATCCTCAGCTTTTCCTTCTCCCTCTGAGCACGAGGTAGCCTCTCAGCCTGGAAGGAGGGTGGGGAATGGACCCTGGGCCTTGAGGTAGCGAGGAGTCCCCCGCTAGGACGAGGAGCACTGAAATGGCCCACCCCAACTCCGGCCACTCTGGGAGCCACGACCCCAGCAAGGTCTACCTCTGACCCGCATGTTTAAGGCATAGAAGAAGCCCATTCAATGAAGGTGATTATCACCCACAATTTAAAGAGTAAGAAATAAAGGCTCCGAGAGACTAAGTAACTTGCCTACGTTGACACAACCAGTGAGGAGGATGGCTGAGACTAGGATTCCAGTCTGTCTCTCTACCTCCAAATCAGTGCTCCCGAAAAACGACTTACCCAGCTTCCTTCAGTCATCTCCAAGTGCTCTTGCCAGCTCCCCCATCCCTGCCCCCAGTAAGAAGAGGGCAGCCTGCTGAACAGGGAGGTTTTACTCATGAGAGGACTAGAACATGACAAAATGTGAGTTGTCTTGGCTCAGGAGCTGGGGGCATGTGGGCCTGATCTGAAGTGCAATTGGACAGGCAGGGTGGGGTGGGTAAGGGGTCCTCCCCAATTTTTCCCAGTCCTCCCCAAGCCTCCCCGAGCTCCCCTAGTCCTCCCCAAGCCTGATACCTGGCAGCCTGAATCCCACCTTCCCTCTCCACAGAGCAAGAACTACAAGGCAGTTTGCCTGGAATTGAAGCCGGAGCCGATCAAAGTAAGAAGCTTTTTTGATGCCATCCCGGCATCCAGGCCTGAGACCCATGGGGAGGTGACTTGGAGTCAGGGGTCATTCGCCATTCCTGGTGGCCAAGACTTTTTCCAGGTGCTGGCAGATACACAAAAGAGAGAGAGAGAGCACTCTGCTGTCATAGAACAAAGCAGAGGCATAAATAAATGAGGAAAAATCTGGTAGCATTACCTACGATACAGGAGATTGAAATAGGAAGATGAAACTGGGTGGCTACTGTAGGTCTGGGGGGGCTGTCAGGAAAGGCCTTCCTCAGCGTGGAGAGGACAAGGCTTGGTCACTGGAGGGCCAAGGATGAGCACCAGGGCTGGAGGAAGACGTCCAGAGGCCCTGTGGCGAGAATGATCATGACTGCCATGGGGATAGAAAGCTGAGGCCCAGCGGGTCAGGAAGGGAGTGGGATGAGATGGGATCAGACAAAGGAGAAGGACTGAGGGAACTCTGGTGCTGGTGGGGCCAGAACACCAGCTCTCACCTCTGCCCTGGCCCGAAGGGAGGAGCCGAACCTAGGGGGGAATCTCTCTCGCCTCAACTGCCCACACTGGCAATTTCCAATATTCCATGTTTCTGTTTTCAACCAATAGACATATGACTACAAAGGAGCTAAACAAGAAGGGCCATTTACCAAACCAGGAGGAACAAAGGAGCTAAAGGTAGGTGTGGGGACCCTGGAAGCAGCAGGTTGGGCCAACACAGTGAACAGGTGGGGCTGACAGAACAACCGCGGCGGCAGGTAAACTGCTGGTACCTACAGTTCTGCCCCAGCCGCTGTGACTTCACTCCTTCTGCTTTTACCTTAAAATTGTTTCTGGCTTACAGAAAATTTTCCAAAAAAATGGTACAATGAGTTCTAGTCTACTCTTCCCCCGGATTTCCAAATGTTGGCCTTTTATTACACTATTTTCTCTTTTTATCATACTCATACATAAATATATATTTACACACACACACTATATATATATATATATATATATATATATATATATATATACACATATCCTGAACCATTTGCAAGCATGTGGTTCTCCCAAATATCAGTATGCATTTCCTCAAAACAAGATCACTCTCTTACACAGCCATAGTACAATCATCCAGATGTCAAAGTCAGGAGATTCATGTTGATACAGTTCTCATCTACAGCCCTTAATCTAATTCCCCCAGTTATCCCGCCAATGTCTTTCATAACAAAAGAGGAGATACATTTTTTTTGGTTTGGGATCCAATTCAGAATCACACCTGGCTCCCAGTTTCCATGTCTTTTTTCATCTAGGACAGTTCTACGACCTTGTATTCTGGGACACTGTCAGTTTTGAGGATTACAAATCACTTATTTTGTAGAATGACCTCAGTCCAGGTTGTCTGATGCTTCCTCACCATTAGACTTAGACTGTGCAATTTTGGTGGCCACACCACAGCAGGGAGTGTGTGACCTTTTCAAAGTGCATCAACACCTGGAGGTACAATGTGTCCCACTGTACTGTTTTCTTAACAGTGTCCTTTCTTTCCTCCCTGCTGGCAATGGTCTTCTGCTCCTCTTTTGGCCATGCCCCAGGACCTTTCCTTTCCTTCTTTTGACTGTTTCCCTTCTATCCAAGACATTTCTTTACTCCTTCTCTCTTTTATTTCCTCAGGATGAACTCAGGGAAGTGAGGGAAGAGCTGAAGGAAAAAATGGAGGAGATAAAACAGGTAACAGGATGAGACTTTACCTCTCATGGAGTTAAAGGGTAGTTTCCAGGAAAATGCAACATCTAACTTTGAATAGTGAAGGAATTCGGAAATTGCACGAAAGAGCAATCCAACTAACTGAGCCCAAATTCCCTAAAGTTCTTGTATCAGCCAGCTTAGGTTATTTGTTTCTTACATGTCTGAGGCTTGAATACAATTTTTGAATGATAAGGGCTGTCTAAGGTGTCTCATTGATTAGGATGGGGAGATACAACCTAGTGACAGAGTGAGGGGCTGATTTGGAATTTGGAGGCAGTCAGGGACCAATTTCTCCTCCCCTGAGCAAGCTGCAGAGCAAGAAGTCTTGTTTCTCTGATGAAATCACCTATAGCTTATTTGTGAACAAAGAAAATACTCAAGCAAGAATGTGTAATTGAAGCTGTGGTTTGAGTTCCACATGGCAGCCTTACCATGGCCAGATCCAAGTTATGCCCAGGCTGCTGCTGCTGGTGACTTGGTGGTACATGCATTTATACTTAACAGACTTTTGGCAAGAAGTGGCTTTAATAAGTCATTATTAGAACATCCCTTAAACTTTATCAGCTCATTCCAGGGGAGCATTCACAGCACTTACCTTAAAACTCTTGAAAGACAACTCCACATTCAGTAATGTGCTGTGTGCCTTTCTTCCTCACTAGATAAAGGATGTAATGGACAAGGATTTTGATAAACTCCAGGAATTTGTGGAGATTATGAAGGTAAGTATTTACTGAATGCCCTCCATGGGCCAGGAATCATGGAAGGAGAAGCCAGAGCCTGCTCTCAAAGTGCTTACAATCTAGTAAGAGACTCAAACTCTATTGCATAAATAACAAGTAAGTACCAGAATTTGCCTGATAATGTAGGAGCCAAGGAGATGCGGGTTTGATCCCTGGGTCAGGAAGATCTCCTGGAGGAGGAAACGGCAATCCACTCCAGTATCCTTGCCAGGATAATCTCATGGACAGAGCAGCCTGGCAGGCTACAGTCTATGTGGTCTCAAAGAGTCAGATGCGACTGAGCACACAGGAGCCATACAAGTACAAAGTTGAATGATGACCGGTTGTCACTTAACTAGGAGTTTAAAGACATGAGAAGTGAATGTGGACTGGGGTAACCAGAAAGTCATTTTAGAGAAAGTGAGTCTTTTTCTTTTTTCAATATTTATTTATTTGACTGCCTCAGGTCTTTTTTGTGGCACACAGTATCTTTTTAGTTGCGGCACGTGAACTCTTAGTCGGGGCGTGTGGGATCTAGTGCTCTGACCATGGATTGAACCTGGGCCCCTGCATTGGGAGCACAGTGTCTTAGCCATTGGTTCACCAGGGAAGTGCCCTAGGGAAAGTGAGTGGTAAGGTGAGTCTAAAAGTTTGAAAGTTAAATGCAAATCTATCCAAGAGTCCAATAAGGTTATTTTTGAATTCAGTAATGACTAAAGAGATTATCTAGCTTCTAGAATAGCAGTTTTCAAACTTTGAGTTTCAGAATCAGTGGGAGCACTAATATAAGAAACAGAGCACACGCAGGTCCTCGCACATTGGGGTTTCATTCATGTTCCCCAGGAAGAAATTTGAGAACAACCAATGTAAAAGCATAAATCGGCAAGTACATTTACCTATAAATTTTTCAAGAGTTGTAAAGAGGCATTACCCTCACCAGATATTGAAGTTCATAATGAAGTCACAATAATCAAATGAAGGTGATACAGCCCAAGGATAAGCAGACAAATGAAATAAAGCAGCATAGAGAACCCTGTAACAGCCTCTCTGACAGGGATCACTTCTGTGGATTTCTCCAGTTCCAGGCCCTGGACCAGATGAACTGAATGAAAACCTCCAAGCTGGGGCACCATTGCTCAAAATGCTGTTACATGATTAAGATGGTTACTTCTAATGAGAACCAGGTCCTTAGCACTTTAGCAGTAGTTGTTAACATTGGCCACATGTTGGAATCACCTGTACTGTGGTTTTGAGCGGCCTCTCTTTACAGCTGGCTGCACCCCATAGCAGTTAAATCAGAGGTCTGGGCATTGGTAATTTTTAAAGATCCTCAGTTGATTCAATTCTATGCTCACAATTGGGCACCACAGCTCTATGAAATTTAAAATACAATAAAGATGATTTTTAAAATTATCAGTGAGAAGGAAAAGATTATTAATATTAAGAATATTTATATGATGAATTATTCAACTATAAAATTAATGAAGTAATGTCATTTGCAGCAACATGGATGGACCTAGAAATTGTCATACTCAGTG